TAGCCCCAGAGAGATGGAACAGCAATAGGAGTGCTACAGTCCTTTGTTGTAAGAGCAGTCTGGCATGCCCCACTCCAGTGATGCATCAGAACTAAAAGTTTAAAGAAAAGCTTAATCTGAGAGCTCCACTGAGAGCTGGGCTGTCAGATAAATAAACCAGGGACATTTTTATCCTGAAAATGATTGAAACTTAATGTTTTCCTTACTGGAGCTTTGTAGTACTTGTGAAAGACTGACAGGCTTCGGGATTAAAATCCTTATCCAGAGAATAGTTAATGCATGGTTAATAGCAGTGCAGGTTTCCCTGTATTGATCTATCCACTGGCACCTTTCTCCCTACAGGGACAAACTGGATTGGTGAAAAAACATTCTGGGTCTTTGCCCATCCCTGGCTGGATCTGTAGTATGCTATTTGCTGCATCTGATCTGGGGTTTTCCATTGTTTATGCTGCAAAATGTACAACACATTTGTGAGAGTGGCCCCCAGTGGTGGATAGACAGAATTATGAATGAGTAGAATTTTTTAACTTCCCATTTCACTGCCTTTTAGTTTAATGTATGATGTGTCCCCAGGTACTGGCTAAGTCCCTGTCCTGCACTCACCACATTCTGATTTGGTGAAGTCAAAATTCAACTTCCTCCCTGGGGCTGGTTTTATTGCAAACTTTTGCATAATGTATTATAATACAACCTAAACATGAGCCAAGCTTCAGGCCTCGGATTGGCTGTGCCTAAGGCCCCCCTGAAGGGATTCCTTTGTTTTAGCTCCTTAGCTTTTTTTTCCCCAAGAGAGCTACACCTTTTAAAGGCAGGGCGGAGCTGAGAAATTACACCTGACACTGCTCCATTGAGTTTATTTTGCCTCATTGTGCTGGATTCTAATGCCTGCTAACAGAATGAGTCAGCAATAAGACCTGCAATATTGTTGGTGAAGTAAATGCTGCATTTATAGAACTGGAATAGTTTCAGAGCTCTAGTGCACTGGTCCAAAAATATTTTCGCATTGTAACACACTTTGTAGAACAGAGGTGATATTCCCCCATTTGGCTATTTATTTCCTTTTTTTAAAGTATAGAATTCAAAATTAATTAGAACCAAATTCTCTCCTGCATGAAACAGCTACTGTTCTCCTAGCCTCCAATTTTCAGTTTAATACTGTCTGTGTTTACATTTTCTGCTCTGCCAGCATTAATGCTATCAGACACTTTGATCATGGGTGAATTTAAGTCAGTGAAACACCAGACAAAAAAGAGATTCCACAACCACTTTCATTTAAAGTACAGCAAGCTAAACATACAAAGGAGCACCAAGAAGTTCTGGCAGGTGTAGAAGGAAGCCCTCTGTACGATGACTGAAGCATATGTAATTGAAACTGTGTAGGGTGATAATGACTGCCTCTTGTTTCAGTTGTGCATGTTTCATCATTTTGATGGGAACAGTTCCATAAGCCAGCTTGAAGGACTCTCTGTGCACCAGTAGTAGTCTCCCAACCACAGACGGAGAAGCATTTAGCTAGGAGATCTTTTCTCTTTCCTACTACCTTCCTCTACTGTTTCCTCTTGCAATGGATCCATAAGGACTCTGCCAATGATCTTCCTCTGTAATACTGCAGTGGTTCTCAGTTACTACTGGTAGAAGTCATGGAGGGTTTTTATAAGAATTATTAAGATCAGTTTATTGAAGTGTTTCTCAAAGTGGGACATGCTGCTTCTGGCCTGCTCCACTTTGATTATTTAAAGGCTGCCATGGAGCCTCATGGTTCCATAGAATCATAGGGTTGGAAGAGACCTCAGGGGGGTCATGGAGTCCAGCCCCCTGCCCAAAACAGGACCAACTTCAATTAAATCATCCCAGCCAGGGTTTTGTCAAGCTGGGGCTTTAAAACCTCTAGGATGGAGATTCCACCACCTCCCTAGGTAACTCATTCCAGTGCTTCACCACACTACTAGTAAAAATAGGTTTTCCTAATATCCAACATAGACCTCCCTCACTGCAACTTGAGACCATTGCTCCTCGGTCTATCATCTGTCACTTCTAAGAACAGCTTCTCTCCCTCCTTTTTGGAACCACACTTCAGGTAGTTAAGAGCTGCTATCAGATTCCCACCCCTCCCCACACACATTCTTCTGTAGACTATAAAAGCCCAAATCCCTCAGCCTCTCCTCATAAATCAAGTGCTCTAGTCATCTAATTATTTTTGTTTCCCTTTGCTGGAATTTCTCCAATGTGTCCACATTCTCTCTCTAATGGGGTGCCCAGAATTGGATGCAGTAATCCAGATGTGGCCTCACCAGTGCCGAATTTATTTAGGGAATAATCACTTCTCTAGATCTGCTGGCAATGCTCCTCCTAATGAAATCTAATATGACATTAGCCTTCTTGGCTACAAGGGCACACTGTTTACTTATTCCCAGCTTCTCATCTCCTGTAATCCCCAGGTCCTTTTCTGCAGAATTGCTACCTAGCCAGTTGGTCCCCAGCCTGTAACAATGCTTGGGATTCTTCCATCCCAAGTTTAGGACTCTACACTTGTCTTTCTTGAACCTCATCAGATTTCTTTTGTCCCAATCATCCAATTTGTCTAGGTCACTCTGGATCTCATCCCTATCCTCCAGCATATCTACTTCTCCCTCTAACTTAGTGTTATCTGTGAACTTGCTGAGGGTGCAATCCATCCCCTTGTCCAGGTCATTAACAAAAATGTTGAACAAAACTGGCCCCAGAACTGACCCTTCGGTTACTCTGCTTGATATCGACCACCAGCCAAACATCGAGCCGTTGATGCCCGACAATTTAGACAGCTGTCTATCCAGCAGGATCCTTGTGGCTTGCCTTAGCTCCAGTTCACCGTTTCCAGCCAAGGGAAGCCACGGCAGCCTTGGGAAGTGTCGTGGCGCAAGCCACCACTTGCAACTTGGTTTCCTTTGGCTGGAAACAGTGAACTGGAGCCAGTGGAAGCCGTGAGGTTCTGAGGCTGTGGAGTCTTCAGAGTTGAGTGGCCCATTAGCAGCTGGCCCACTTTGAGAAACACTGGTTTATGGGGAGCGCTTTGCTTGTTTTAATTACCTGAGCAACTTGATTACTTTGCTGTTGAGGCCTATTTCTTGAATGATGATTTTTAAAAATATTTCAGGCTTTTTTTTGTCTCCTATTTCATTAGCCGAGAGACTGTCAGGATAAATAGCCCAAACCTCCTTCAATTACAATAAATACTCTTTCTTTTCCAATGAGAAATGAAACACAGTGACATGACATAGTGTGACCTGCAGAGTGTATCAGAGAGTTTTTAGAAGAGAAAAAGATTGTATGTATCTTTGAACCTGATTCTGCAACTGCTTTAGTGTGAGAGCAAGTATCTGATTTGGATCTCTTTGCAAAAATTTGAGTAAAGAACAATTATTTTATAAGTGGTTCAATCCCCTATAAAAGGGTGATTAATTGTGACTGCCATCTTTTTATTTTTAGTTAAGCTGGCAACCCATTTAGAAAAATTGGTGCCCAGATTAATTCATTCTGATTATGCTGATTTTATGTTGAGGATTTTTCTGTCAGATTGCATCAGGAAAAATGTTTAACGCAATTGGTGGTTCCAGCAGACTAGAAATAACTGCAGCTGTAATCACTAATGCTGCAGAGGAGAGAAAGCAGCAGTGATTCATATCAGTGATACTTTCTAGATCAGATTTTAGGGGAAATGAGAACAAAGAGGAAGCCTTCTCTTCTTGGGCATTTTGGCCTATTCTGTGCCACAGGATAATCTCTATTGGCCTACAGTCTATTGTAACTGTTAAACCATGATCAAAACAAACAAAAATTATTGATGAAAGGCCATTACTTTGAGAATTAAAATTCCTGAGCTGCTTTAGGGCAGCTGTGAGGCACATCATTGGCCTAAAGAGGCCACAAAATGGTGAACACAGTCCTCATGGATGAAAGATCTTCAGGTGGCAATGAGCTAATGAAATGGCTCCAATAACATCCCATCACAAGGCAGCTTGCATAAGGACATTTACTAGCCTGTGTATTAGTTCACTGTTCCAACAAGTAACATTTTGAAATTAATTAGTTTTTATGTCTAATCTGATAGTGACCCTTTTACACAGGTAAAACACCCCCTTCCCCACATATGACCATACCTTTCAGGTTACCAACAATGTCCTCAAATGAGGGTGAGACAGGTGATCTAAATTTTAAGTCTAAATTTTGGGTAGGATGTCTCATCCAGTTTTCGACCTATTTAGCTCGGTGTCATGGTTTTATTATTTATTTATTTATTCCTGTAGTGTTTAGGAGACCTAATCATGGATCCACCACCCCATTATTTCATGCATAACAGAAACACAGAACAAAAGATGTGCCTACCACAGAGAACTTACAGTCTAAGTATAAGAAAAAGAGACAACTAAGAGAAACAGGGAAATATGAGAAAACATTATTGGTCAGCATGTGCTTTGCAGAGCAGTGGTCTAACAGTTGTCAAGTTTCTTTTGTTTTGTTTTGTTTTTACATATAGCAAAAAAAGAGATTTAAGGAAGGAACTGAAAGATCATGAAACTTTTGCAGATGTTTACAGGAGCCTCCTCTCCACTGTGAGGGCCAGCATGAGTGAAAGCATGTAGATGCTTGTCTGAAATTGTAACAACTGCACAGTGGATTCTGGCCAATCAGAGGTGGGAATCTTCATCTTGATGGTGAATAAAATATGATAGGCATGGTGTATGTAGGCCACATGGGCCATATATGTGAAGACATGTAGTTTATATTTGATTTAATATTGACAGGCTAGAAACATTATTTTTGCAGTAGCATTTTGAAAGTATGTTATCAAAGCAAGACTGCATTTGGTAAAACAAGAGTAATCAAGTCTAGTTGCAGTAATCAAGACATAAAAGGCTGAGAGTCTGGGTAGAGTTCAGTTGTGTGACTGGTTAGGAATGATCATGCTTTAGAGATGTTACACAGAAAGATTAGGTATGATATAATGCAGCCTGGATGTGAGGGCCTAGAGAGAGACCCCCAAGCTGAAGATGATGTTCAGACCAGGACCTGTTAAGAGTCATATTTTAGTCATGTTGAGCTTGGACTGTTGCCTAAACATCCATAGGGACATGTCAGAGGCTTTGTGAGGAGGGGATAGGTCAGAAGAAAACAAGCAGATCTGTGAATCGTCAGCATAGAAATGGTTACTAAATTTGTGTTTGTAAATTAGATTAGACCTTTGAAGTCAGTGGGAGAAAAGAATGGCACTTGCAACTGACTTCTTGTGTGGACTGTCTCAGGACTATAACCTTTTTGCATTCAGGCGTCCTGTTAGTTTAATGAGAGCCACGTCTTACAGTACAGCCCCTCAATTTTCACCTTCCTTTTTCCAGGTGAAAGAAGTTTGTTTTTAATGTGATAAATATAAATGCCTCATACCAGCTGTCTTCATATAAGTTTTAAAGAGAAAAGAGAGAGAATTGTCTTACCAAACATACATAAATACTATCTTATTGCCAACAATTAGATTCTGTGTCCCATCAATTCTCAGTAGCACTGAACAGAAGCACACATTTGAATCTAGTGATAAGTGCTTTTGCTGCAGTGATTTTTTAATCTGTCTCTTCACAGAGTGTTTTCCCTTTGATGAAGCTCTTCTTAGAGAATAAGAGCTGCCTAGTTCTCACTATAATGGTATAGCAGTTTTGCTTTCTAACTTGAGAAGAGATAATTTATTAGTGATGTGTAGAGCTTTAAGGGGAAATGGAAAATGTTAATGTCTGAATGTTCGAAGGTTAGCACATTGGGATATTTTTAGTCCCACAATTAATTTCATGTTTGTCAATAGAAATCTGCCCATCAGCAAAGAACCAGCAATTAGAGCCAGATGTTCAGGGGGAGGAGCTTACTGCAATGAACCTGAACACACATAAAAGAAACCAGAATAAGAGAATTTGATATGTAGGGCCCAAACCTCAACTGTTGTAGATGAGCACAGCTCCATTCAGCCCATAGATTCTAATATTTATTAAGATTAAGGCACTATTCCTGCCATCATTCTATGATCTCCCTTCCATGCAGTGTCATAGATTGTGGGGATTGCATCTTCTTAAAAAACTTGATATAACTTCGGCTTCACAACACCACACTGAAACATGTTCAGAAACATTCAGTTTAATAAGTAGAACTTGCAAATGCTGTACGAGGGTATTATCTTTAAAAAATGCCTTCTGTATTGTGGATCTTATTCTCCAAGCATTCTCATTTTCTACAGAATGTTTTTAACACGTGGCTGATTCATTCCACTGTATATTCATTCTCTCTCTCTCTCTTTCTGCCACTCACTCACATGCACGCATGCACACACAAACGCTACTACTTTTTGTTCTATACTCGTGATACATGACAATCCATGTACCAAGCCTGTTCTTTTGTAGCTGTCAGATAATAGGAAACTAGACATAGGCAAATGTCTCATACTGTTTCTATTCAGTTGCTTCAGTCTAGACTGCAGCCTCTATCAGTGATACTTCTAATGGTGCTGTACCTAATGGAAATTCTGCATCTATAAACTCCTAAACTTAACCAAGAACATGTAGAAGCATGCTCACTGCTTTGGTTAATCTGATCAAAATTAAATTAGGAACTGCATTGGATCTTCCTGTGTTGAGGAGCATAAGGGGGAACTATAATAACAGTTTACTTTTTGTTTCTCTTATAGCTAGCCTGCTGACTAAAACAACCTTTGCATAGGCTTTGAAATCTTGCTATTATTGGAGTCAAGTAGGGTCCTAGAATCTTTTTTGTTTTTTTGTTTGTTTTCAAATATAAATGCACCTGCAACTTATATTGTTTCTTTTGGTAAATTACAAAATGAAATCATATAGTATTTAGATATGATATAAAATGGGACATCTAGGCTCAATTCGTTTAAAGGAGAATCTTCCTCTTCAGTCCTCACAGAAAAAATTCTGACCTAGGTTTGGGGGCACTTTAAGCCCAGGTGAGCTAGCTAGCATGGCTAGGGATGAACCTGAGTCTATTTTAACACTAGCTGGAACCTGTTCACTTTGCAGTGAGGATGCAGGCAAAATCACTTGCCTTATGACTATTGGCACCAAAAGGACAGACAAATTCTCACACAATTGCTGGGAAAGAATTCTAGAGCATCTCTGTACAAAGAACCATGAGGTATGCCCTCACACAGGGAAGAGCAGAAATAGTGAGAACCTGGTAGTGGATACTAGGGCTTGGAAGTTGAACACTCAGTCTTGGGCTAAGCTAACCTAAATGCTCAGAACTGGCTGTTGATCACCTGGCTAACTGTGCACTGAGCACATGTCCTTTAAAGTTAGGGCAAAGACCATCTAATCCACATTCCTGAAAATGCAAAGTTTGTTCACTATTTAGTATATTTTCTAGTGTGGTATTTAGGCTAGCTTTAAATGTGCATAGGTCCTGAGATGAAAAAACAACTCCTTTTTTTCTGAATAAAGAATTTTTAATGAGTCAGGCTGAGTGTTTGTATTGTCTGATGGTTTAACAATGTTAGCATTCAAATGGCTGCAATTGGCCTTTAAAGTTAATACCCCATTTAATACAAATGGTAGAAATTCACAGCTTCATGATATTGTTTCAATCACTTTAGCCATAAATGGAACAAAAGAGCAGCACTTTGAAGGAATATCCTACAGGATCACAGCAATTAGAAATTAGGACTTCCCCAACCAGGAGACCTTTAGATTTTGATCCTCCTTCAGATTTTGCTGAGTTGGCAGTTATTAAACATACATTATATAAACAGGAAAGCTGTAGATGAGTGTAACAAACTGGAAAGCACCATCATGAAATACCTTGGTTCTGATTTTCAGTAATCAGGTATCTGACACACATGCTTTCGTGCTCCGTGCCAGCAGCTCCTCCCAATTGTGTAGCTGTACTGCTCCCAGCCCTGTCGCCAGCAGGGTTGTATAACCACAGACAGGAGACAGATAATGGGTGTTCATGTGCCAATGAGGGATTGCACTTATACAGCTGTATGCAAGTAAAGTAGGTTCACAGGCATGTAGAGAAGTACATTCAAAGCTTATGTTCCCCTTGCTTTGCTTTTCCAGCTCCACAATTCCTTTTCCTTCTATTATTCTTCACCAAGGGTACGTCTACACTACAACGTTAATTCGAACTTAGTTCGAATTAGTTAATTCGAACTAAGCTAATTCAAACTAACGGATCCAGACTAAAAAACTAGTTCGAATTAGCGTTTTGCTAATTCGAACTAGCATGTCCACATTAAGTGGACCCTGAAACGGGGTTAAGGATGGCCGGAAGGAGTGCCGGCAGCGCATCAGATGAGGACTTAGAGCATGGAGCTGCTGCCTCAGGCTAGCCGAGGGCTGTGCTTAAAGGGACCCGACCCCCAACCCGGACAGACAGTTTTCAGGGTTCCCCGCTTGCAAAGCAGTCCTGGCTTGGAGTGCCCTGAGTGCCCACACTGGGCACATCACAGCACTCGGCCATCAGACCAGCTGCACTTGCCGCAGGCTGCCATCTGGGGAGAGGGGGCAATTGGGGGGCTGCAGGAGAGCTTCCACCCCCAGAAGCCCGCAGAGCCAGCCCAGTCCTCCCCATCGGGGGCTTGTGCCCCATTCCTCCCTCACCTCCTTCCACTTACCCTTCCCTAGCCCCCCTTCTTATTGATGTACAAAATAAAGATAACGTTTCTTCCAACATTGACTCTGTCTTTATTGAACAAAACTGGGGGAGACTGGGAAAAGGAGGTGGGAGAGGGGAAGAGAAAGGCTGGGAGAGGGGAGGGCAACTAACATGATCAGGGGTTGGGAACAGGCCCCAGATGAAGAGAGGCTACAGAGACTGGGACTGTTCAGCTTAGAAAAGAGGAGACGGAGAGGGGACAGGATAGAGGTCTCTAAAAGCAGGGGTTGGGTGGAGAGGGTGCATTCAGAAAAGTTCTTCATGAGTTCCCATAAAGAAGGACTAGAGGACACCAAAGGAAAGGAATGGGTAGCAGGCTTCAAACTAGTAAGAGAAAGTTGTTCTTGACAAAGCAAATAGTTAACCTGTGGAACTCCTTGCTGCAGGAGGCTGTGAAGGCTACAACTAGAACAGAGTTGAAAGGGAAGTGAGATCAAGCCATGGAG